GAATATCAGGCATTTGATAAATACTCCATGAATGAGTGAATGAGTTAGAAGCTCTCATTATGTTTCGTCAGGCAATTCTGTTTGAAAGATAGGCACAATCAGCCAGGTTTTAAAGGAAATGAATGTTATTACACGAGAACTCAAGTAACACAAAGAGAATAATCAGAAGGCCAATAAGAACTAAGAAATGCCCAAGGAGGAAAAGGAAAGCAACCTGGCCATCACAAAGGGAGGGGCCTGGAGGTGGAGAAGCTGTGGCATCAGATGTGGGTTGAATGGGAGGGAGGAAGGTTAGGATGGATATGGGGAAAATGTTAGATTCTCATTCTGCATATCCGTCTGGTAATTTGAGTTTAGGTTTTTTAGATGGTTGGAACCTGGGCTTCCTTCCTCCAACCAGTATTTATTAATACTTCTGTGCCAGATGCTGTTACAGGTGTTTGGGATAGAGCAGTAAGAAAACAGTCTCCAGCCTTTCAAGGTGACATTCTAATGAGGGATATAGATAATAAACATATTAACATACTGTTTCAAGGGAATGTAAGATGATAAAGCCACTCTGGAAAAACAATCTGGCAATTATTTGAACTAAACCCACACTTACTATATGACCTAGCAATCACACTCTTGAGCATTTATCCCAGAGGAATGAGTTCTTATGCTCACAAGAAACACAAATGTTTATAGCAGCTTTATTCATAATAGCCTCAAATTAGATGCAACCCAGAGGCCCTTCAATGGTGAATGATTAACTAAACTCATAGATTCACACCATGGGATACTATTCTACAATAAAGGCAACAAAATATTGCTACACACAATTTGAATGAATCTCAAGGGCAATATGCTGAGTGAAACAAAGCTAAGTCCCAATGGTTCCATGTGATAGTATGCCATATTGTTCCATTTTCATAGTATTGTTGAAATACAGAAATGGGGAACAGATTAGTGGTTAACAGGGATTTCAGATGGAGTGGGAGGAGAGGGTGTGTCTATATAAGGGCACCATAAGCGATCTTTTTTGTGGTAGATTTTTCCACAAAAATCTGTCTTTTGATTGTATTGGTGGATGCACACCATTGATAAATTCACATGAAACCATGTATATGTATAGGATCAGGGCTGTAATCCTGAAAAAAAGGTATGTGTGTTTATTCTTTTTGAAGCAGGGTCTTGCTATGTAGCTTATGGGTGATGACTGTTATTGGCTGTTAACTTGACTACATCTGGAATGAACTAAAACCCAAGTGGCTGATTACACCTGTGAGGGATTTTTTTCTGAATTAAACCATTTCAAGTGGGAAGAGCCACTTTCAACCTGGATCTTTTCAGATGACAAGGTACAATTTTAATCTAGATCTTTTGAGGCAGGAAGATCTACCTTTAATCTGGGCCACACCTTCTGCTGGCAGCCTGTATAAAGGACATGGAAGAAGGAAGCTTGCTCTCTTTGCCTGCTTGTTCTCACCTTGCTAGTAAGTCCATTCCTTTATTGGCACCGGAGCCTACTTTGAGACCGCATATACCAAAGACCAGCTGAGACATCCAGCCTTGTGGACTGAACTGAAGTTCTGTTCTATATGTTCTGGTCCTCTAGAGAACCCTGACTAATACATCATTCTGCTTTCCTGTCACTCAAAATTTCTTGCCTCAACTTTTGAAGTGCTGGGATTATAGGCATGAGCCATTGCTCTGACTTTTTAATTTTGATATTACATTTTTTTTGAGACAGGGTTTCTCTGTGTAGCTTTGGTGCCTTTCCTGGATCTCACTCTGTAGACCATGCTGGCCTCAAACTCACAGAGATTCTCCTGGCTCTGCCTCCCAAGTGCTGGGATTAAAGGTGTGTGCCACCATCGCCTGGCAATATTACATTTTATAGTTATGAAAGATGTAGTCATTAGTAGCAACAGGCTATATAATACACATGATGTCTCTATACTAATTTTGCAACTTTCTGTGACTATAATTAGTTCAAAAGAAAATGATTTAAAATACAGTATTTGCCCAGTGGTGGCACACACCTTTAATCCCAGCACTTGGGAGGCGGAGGCAGATGGATCTCTGTTAGTTTGAGGCTAGCCTGCTCTACAGAGCAAGTTCCAGAACAGCCAGGAGTACACACAGAGAAACCCTGTCTCAGAAAACCAAAACCAAAATCAAAACCAAAACCAAAACATCAACAACCAAAAACAGTGTTTGTGACCAGCAGAAAAAAAATGTAAATAAAATGATTCCTAAAGCTACTCTGTTATACTTGTAGATTGGAGTGAGTCTATCATATTATCATTAGAGAGGCTTCATTCAGCAACTGATGGGAGCAGATGCAGAGACCCACAGCCAAACATTAGGCAGAGCTCAGGGAGTCCTGCAGAGGAGGGAGATGAAGGATTGTAGGAGCCTGAGAGGTTAGGGACACCACAAGAACATGGCCTTCAGAATCAATTGGCTGGGACTCATGGGGGTTCTCAGAGATCAGGGAGCCTATGGGGTCTGACCTAGATTCTCTGCATATGTTATGGCTGAGTAGCTTGGTGTTTTGGTAGGACTCTTAACAGTGAGAGTTGGGGGCTGTCCTTGACTCTTTTGCCTGCTCTTGGGACCCTTTTCCTCCTACTGAGTTGCCTTGTCCAGCCTTAATATGAGGGGATGTGCCTAGTCTTATTGGAACCTGATAGGCCATGTTTGGTTGATCTCCCTGGGAGGCCTGCCTTTTTCTGAAAAGAAAAGGAGGAGGAGTGGATCTGGGGAGAGGGGAGGTGTGTGTGTTGGGGGACTGGGAGGTGAAGAGGAAGGGGAAACTGCGGTTCAGATGTAATATATAAGAGCAGAATAAAAAGAGTCAACACAAAAAAAAATAGTATTTGAGCTTTGAGTAAAAATGAAGCAGTATCCAGAGATAATGATGGGTAAATGCTATCTTAGAAAGGGTAGTCAAGAAAAGCATCTGTGAGAAAGGTGACATTTGAAAAGACCAGATTAACAGAGTAATCCACAATGTACCTCTGATCAGAGTAGCAAAGTCTTTTTGCTAGTGGAGGCAAGGAGAGTGGGTGGACACAGGATCTCATGTAACCCAGGCTGGCCTTGAGCACACTATGTAGCTGAGACTGCCTTTCAATTGATCCTCCTGCCTCTGCCTTCTGAGCACTGGAATTACAGGTATGGACTACCATGTCTGGCTCAGCATGGTAAATTCTAGCCTTACAAAATGCATGCTTTGAGGGTAGAACTAGTTGCTGTTTTCAAGACAGGACAGGTAGGGAGTGACTGTCCATGGCTCACCAGGCATCTGCACATTGAACAATAAGGTGGGAAAGAACTATTCATAACACCCACAGAGGACCAGGGCTTGACTTCTCAGAGATAGAGAAATGCAAGAATCTAAAGTCTGTTTGCCTGGTGCTTTTTGCATGTCGTTGTAGCTAGTGTGCGAGTGTTATATGTATGTGCTGAGCATGCGTGTATATGCAAGTGTGTGTATGTGTGTTCACATGTATGTGTAAGCCTGAAAAGAACTGGACACCATGGAGCAAGGTAGCTGGTTCCTGGTTTGATTTGAACCACGCTTCTTGACTTGGAGCCTAGGCTTACACCAGTGCTCCATTTCTGGCTTTACATACAAACATGTCTCTCATTGAAAAATCTTTCCCTATGTCTGTGTCCAGTGTCTGGGAAATCCTGCCCTTTCTCAAGGTCCAACTTCGGTTCCGTCTCCTTCAATGGGGTGGGCCATCAGTGCTGGGGTACAGGGAACTTTCATGACACTAGGAAAGGACAGATGGCTGGAGGGGAGTGAGGGTTGGAAGGTTTTTTTTTTTTTTTTTTTTTTTTTTTTGGTTTTTCGAGACAGGGTTTCTCTGTGTAGCTTTGTGCCTTTCCTGGAACTCACTTGGTAGCCCAGGCTGGCCTCGAACTCACAGAGATCCGCCTGGCTCTGCCTCCCAAGTGCTGGGATTAAAGGCATGCACCACCACTGCCCGGCTTTTTTTTTGGGGGGGGGAAGGGTTGGAAGTTTTACAGGTGGAAGTTTTGCATCTGGGTTAGTGGTTTAAGTTAAGGTTGCCATAAGGATACATGCTAGTAATGGGCTCTGACAGAATCCAGTTTCTAGGAGAGGGAAATTGGAAATTTTCCCTTCCAATAGCAGTTGTGTTGATTATTATGACAATGCATATTTAGCAAATGTTGTCTATCTTGAAACCTCAATTTACAGATCAAAGAACAGATTAGAAAAGGGGACTCACCCAAGGTCACACAGCCAGCTTCTGAATGTATCAGGAGAAAAATGAAGCTCTTGTCCAATTGGATCTCACTATGTAACTCTGGCTGGCCTGAAACTGGCTATGCAGACTAGGGTGGCTTAGAAATCACAGAGATCCTTCCTCTGCCTTCCAAGTGCTGGGGTTAAAGGTGCAAACTCCCCCCACCACCCTGTATAATCTCATTTTTCAATTAATTAATTGTTTGCATGGTGCTAGGAGTCAAACCCATGCCACTGAGCATGCCAGACAGGCACTTTATCATTGAGTTATTATCCCCAGACATTGCAGCAATTTTTATCTGAAATGCTTCAAATATAGCACTAGGTCTCACACATCACAGGTCATTTAGTCTTTATGTGGATAAATAAAAGTAGCACCCACTAGCTGGCAGAACTTTATGGGAGATGGTCACATTCAGGTGGAGCATAGCAAAAACATGGTGGAAGACAGGCTCTAAGCTGAGGCAGGTGGGCAATTTAGCTTGGTTAAGCAGAAGACATGTTACAGAGCATAGCACTGCACAGCTCTTCAAAATCTTCAGGCCTGGATCTGGCCGGAGATATCGTATTTAAGTTCACTCCTAAATCTGTGCCTCTCAGGTCTGCTCTATTTTCTTATCCCTCTTCCTAGGTTTCTGATCCCTTTTCCATCCTAGGCTGCCACTTTCTAAGATGGAGTCCTCTTTTCTTAGGCAGGAGGCAGGATGAAGGGCAGATGGCACAGAGGCTCACTCACCTGATGAGTGTGCAGAACTGTAAGAACGATGGCTTCCTTAGCACTCCTACAGAGAAAAGAGGGAACAGGAGAGCAGTATATCATGCACTAGGTATTCATCTAGTACAAGAAGCAACACCAGAATGTTCCCCTGGGTTGCATTCCAGTATATGGATTAGGACAGAGGGTAATCTGAGGATCTGCATGGATGCCTCGCTTCCCATCATTTGTGGAAGCTGACACAAAACCATCCATATTGGTTCACACGGGTACTCAGCAATGGTATTAGCATTACCTCTGGGGTTGTCATTTTTCAGATTTTCTTTTCATAGTCCTTCTCACATTCTTTGCAGAAATCACTAAACCCTAGGTACGATTTTATCTGTAGACTAGAAAATTCTCAAGGAAAACTACAGGCCTGAATTATAGAACTCAAAGGGCACACAGCCAGAGAGTCCTGGGAACCATGTACGATGATTATTGGCAATTTGGTATTTAAGCAAGAAAAGAAACTCAAAGGAAAAACCCAGAGGAGGTCATTTGGTCATTGTGACTCATACTCAGCAGATTTGTTTTAATTGAGGGACCAAAAAACGAGAGCCAAGGAGCAACAGATGGAAGTCCAGACTCTCCAGATAGCAAATATTCAAACGATGAAGAATTCAAAACTCTTCCAACAAGAATTATGCCAACGATCAAAGAGGCTGTGGGGTATGAAAATTCTCTCGCAGGAATACATAATCTTTTAAAATAACTAAGCAAAATGGGAATAGTTTTCCCTGAAGGAGTTTTCCCTCTCCCTGTTGGCCTTTTTCAGATGTTTATAGGGACAAAGACATGCAAGGAGAGTCATGCCGGGTCTGACACCACACACCTATAATTTTAGCACTTAGCTGGCTGAGGCAGCAAGGTAATGAGTTTGAGGCAAGCCTGGACTACATAGCAAGACTCTGACTCAAATATCACCACCACTACCACCACCTCCTCCTCCACCACCACCAGCAGCAACAATAATATCAAAGCTACTTTGATTTTGGTTATTTATTTTTGTCTAAGACTCCGTCCAAGGACTTTTAATGAACATTTCCCACATTTGTTGAGGCAAAGTCCACTGATCAATCAGCTCCAAGATCTGGGAAATTACCAGAGCAAAGAATTGTACTATAGGGAGAATCCTCAGGGAGCAGTTTATCTCGAACAGGGAAGGGACATATAGTCACCTGCTCCAGTCCTTGCCAGTTTTCCCCATTCCATTATGAAGAAAGCTAGTTTTGATAATGACTTACAGGGCTCTCCACAATCTGGATTTATCTTCTACAACGTTCTCTCCATTGTCTTACCAGACTCTTGGGGCATCTCCCTGTTCCTCCTTCAGGGCAGACACAGTGCTGTCTTACGGACCTTTAAACTAGCTCTTCTTTCTCCAATGTATTTGCCTCCATGTCTTTCTTCACACATCACCTTCTCAATAAAGCCAATACTGGGCATTGTGTTTAAGGTTACATTTTGCACCCTTGGGTCCAGCAATCTGACCTTCTTTACCCTATATACTTTCTATTCTTCAAAAATTTTTATTTACTTTTTTGTTTATTGTAATACAATTATTCAACCTGTCCACTGTTTGGGGGTGTTTCTTTTTAACTATATTGCAAATGCTAATAAGCCAAGAAGTTTTGTGTCTTATTCAATGCCTAAAGTGGTATCTGGTGCATAAAAGACAATAAACACATGTTCATTGAGTAAATGGATGGATAGATGAATGGGCCATTAGCACCTGAGTTATCAAAAGAGTAAGGTTTGTTTTGACACTGATGGAGCTCCAGAAACCTTTACAAAATTGGAATGCTTTGTTCTAGGGTACAAAGACATCCACTAGAAGCAAAGGAGGACTTCTGAGGGGCATAGCTGAAAGAGCTTCAGCATGTACTGATGGGGTAAAAGGGAGCTCTCCCCATACTGTTGTGCTAGTGGAGGGTGAAGGGCACAGTGTAAAGAGTAGGGCAGTACAATGGGCAGTTGAATTGAAGAAGAGACAAACAAGTCATTAGAGATCAGAGACATTTGGAGGTATTGAGCTGCAGGGGAAGTATGGCAAAGAAGACCTACTCTGGACTTCAGGACAGAGCATTCCAATACCTTTCAAGGAGATAGGAGAGTGTGGTACCACACAGAATGCAAAGTCTGCCTCTGAAAGCCAGGGAGTGTTTCTGGGAGCAGGCAGGCTTTGGTGAGTTCCAGAAAGATGAATAGAAGGAAAACACTCTGAACCAAGTCCAGCAGAAGGGGATGAAAGCAAAGATGAAGGCAGGGCATACCAGGCAGAAAGAGCGAATGAGTGAGCAAGCTAGAGAGACAAAGAGAGAGAAGCAGTAAGACAGAGACAGAGAGGCAGGGAGTCCCTCAAACTGAGAACGTTAGCTCACTGAATTTAGTCTTCACTTCTATCCTGTCCTTTCCTTTCAAGACATCTATGCAAAGGTATAAGTATGTTGTATCGGGACAAGAAGTGTGTGTGTGTGTGTGTGTGTGTGTGTGTGTGTGTGTGTGTGTGTGTGTGTGTGTGTGTGTGTTTGCTTGCACTGTGCTTATCTCAGAGTGTTCTCTTAATGGCATATTGGGTTCTCACAGTCACTTGGCCTGTCCCACGGTACAGTAATTCCAAAACTCCAAAGGGCTTGGACCGAGAGACAAGTTGGAGAGGACAGAGGTGAAGCTGGAGCATGAAGGCTCTTCTTTTTGTCTACTCATGTCACTGGCAGAGTATGTGAGGCCTGTGGTGACCCTTACTGCCTGATACCCACAGTTCTAGGTGGCCAGGAGCCCTGGCGAGAGCTGATCTGCCTGGGAAGGTTTCTCTCTAGGGCCTTGAATAGTGGTAGCCCTTTGCCACTGATGGGACAGGGGTGGGGGCATTGCTCAGCTCCTGTCAAGGCCCCAGAGGCCCCTGTTACCTGATGAGTTCTATGAACCTCTCCCTGGGGGCTTCACTCACGTCCTCCTCATTAATAGCCACAATCTGGTCACCAGCCAGGAGCTTGTCCTCAGAGGGGCCTCCTGCAGAGGAGAGGAGAGAGGCGTGAGGGCTCAGAGGTACTGCCAAGGGAAAGTGCAAGTCTGGGCAAAAGCCACATTGCCTGAGGGAGTCAAGCCAATAAAGAGAGAGGAGAGAGAGAGAGAACTCCAGTAGAAGCCTGCAGAGGATGCAGACTGAGGTATGGTGGCAGAAGTGTTTTTCTAGCTCAGGCTTCCGCCCATGGAGGACAGAGGAATGAAGAGAGAGACTGGAATAGAGACCCTTTCGCAGAGCGTGGCATAGGAGCAAAAGGTCCACGGCTAAGATGCGGCTCTAAGTGTCTGGTCGCTTGGTTCTAAAGAGGGACAGAGACTTCTGTCTCATTTGAGCGGTTCACTTAGGCAAAATGAATGGCTTCTGACTGCTGGAGGTGGCACAAGTGACAAGAGCAGGGGAAGCAATCTTCTTACTTGAATATCAGTCGTATTCATTCTGAAATGGTTTAGGCACTCATATGCTGGGAGATAGGGGAATGAATTTTAAGACCGAAAGGGTTTAAATTTTTCCAACACTGAGAGATGCTATCCCCTCCAAATGTGTAAACAAAGTACAGGTCCCCAGGCAGCAGGACATCTGCTTGCTGCCTTCCCATCTCCAATGGTGAGGTTAAGAACTGATCTATGGGAAAGCTAAACGCCTTGGCTAAAGCAAAAGGTAGAGACAGAGAGGTGCCACAGGTGGTGCTGCCTCCACTTCCTAGGAAAGTCCCTTTCTTCCTTCCTTCCTTCCTTCCTTCCTTCCTTCCTTTCTTTCTTCCTTCCTTCCTTCCTTTTTTTCAATCTTTCTTGAGAAAAGCTTTTCAGAGACAGAAAGAGAATGAAGTTGGATACAGCATGATTCAAACCCTAAAGAAAAGCTAAACGATATGTCCCACTCTCAAACTGGCCTTGATTATTATTTGTGGCCATTAAAAAAAGGCCAGATCCCAACTTTTCTCTCCACAGAGAAGTGCGCTGCCTATTGACTTCCCAAACTTATACATACTGACTATGTCAATGATGGCACAGGCCTATAATCCCAACTGCTAGGGAGGCTGAGACAGGAAGATGTGAAGTTCAAGGGTGCTGGAGCTACTAGCTAAGTTCAAGGCTAGTCTGGGAAACTTAGCAAGACCCTGTGTCAAGATAAAAAAGTGAAGACAGTCGAGAGGTGTCCCAGCATACACGGAGTTCAATCCCATGGGCAAAAATAAAAAGTCACCTGAGCATATCTCAATGGCTCTGGCCCCTGGGACTCATGTAGGAGTCACCAATGGAACAGCATTGACGTTTGCTAGGCCTCATGACAGTTCAGTGATTTCACAAATTGTGAGCGTGGGGTTGACAATCATACTCTTTGCAGCCATGAAGAACTGGGCTCTAATCCTGCAGTCACAATTTACTGTGTGACCTTGAGTGAGACTTCTAAATGTCTCCCAGTCACTTATCTGTTAACTGAGAAAATGACAGTGCCTATACATCAGAGAATGTTGGGAAGATAAATGAGGTGATTAATGTGTACTACTTAAAATAGCTGATTAAGCCAGGTAAAGTGGCCCACACCTATAATTCTAGTCCTTGGGAAGTTGAGGCAGGAGGATTAGGAGTTCAAGGTCAGTCTTAACTACACAGTGATTTAAAGGTCAACTTAGACTGCATAAGATCCTGTCTCAAAAACAGAACAAAGCAAAGAATACCAATAGTTGATCGCTGTCAGTGAGAACTGAATAAATGATGGTTATTGGCTCTTCCAAGGGACAGTTCCTTCCGTTTGTTTCATTACGTCTATCAATTTCTGTCAAAACCAACTAACTTTGGCTAGGGATGGAACTCAGTTGGTAGAGTGCTTGCTTTGCATACACTCGGCCGTGGGCTCACTCCCCAGAACCACATAAACTAGATGTGGTGGTGCACACCTATAATCCTAACATTCAAGAGACAGAGGCAGGACAATTCCTTTAAGTCCAGAGCCAGCCTGGCCTGATATCAGGATAGCCAGGGCTACACAAGACCGTGTCTCTAAAACAAACAAATAAAAAAGCCAACAAAATGAAAATAACAGTCTCGTAGGTGGGGGCACTTTACTTATTTCCTTTCCTTCTTCCCTCTCTCCCTAGCTTGGAGTGAAGAGGTCCTCATAGAACACAACTTCCTTCTTGGGCCTTGGACCTGTCCATGTCACTGGTGATATTGATCTACCTTTTGCACAAATGGTTTGTGGGTCTTCGGAGCCATGACTGACCCTCTGTAGAATACTTCATCTTTTCTCATGGCCTCATATGCAAGCAAACATCCTCTGTATCCAGTAGCTTCATGGATCAGCCCATCTTTTATAGGGTAGGGCCTGGCAGTCCCTAGCTTTTTGTGGCTCTATTAAGGGACTTTTATTTATTTTTTTTTAAATCAGGTTTTAAAATTTATTTATTTTTATTTTATGTGCATTGGTGTTTTGCCATGGGTATCAGGTCCCCTGGAACTGGAATTACAGATAGTTGTGAGCTGCTATGTGGGTGCTGGGAATTGAACCCAGGTCCTCTGGAAGAGCAGTCAGTACTCTTAACCACTGAGCCATCTCTCCAGCCCCAGGACTTTTCTTTTTATTCCTTCACCTCTTTCTGTTCTAGGACAGGGATGGGATGGTGGAGGGCTTCTTTCCAGTCTTCAAATTCTGTATACTTTGAAGTTAAAGTAGGGGTTTCTGGTGGTCTATTGTATTCCCTCTTCCCGAGACAAATTTGGTTTCTGATCAGAAGACAGAACTCTTTTGCCAAACTGGATGACTGACTCAGGAGCCTAAGGTTATCCACAAACTCCTGTATTGAATTTTGTTTGCTTTTGCCCTCTAGTTGAAGAGAGCTTACAGGAAAAAAAATGTTTTTTTTTTTTCTTTTCCTTTGAGGATAGCGAAATTCATCAAATTTCTGCAAGACCAGTTCGTAGTCTGCTGCTCCTTTTGACTGAGTGAGAAACTGTTGTAAACATCTCAAGCCTCAGGCCTAGCAAGTGAGGAATAAAGCCCTTTCCTGTCAATGCACAGCGAATGCAAACACAACATTGCTTTGGCTCTATTTCACTCACAATGGCAGGGTTTCAGACATGCGGGTGGGCGGGCGGGCGGGCGGGGTGCTTGCTCCTTTTCCCATCCCATGCAGTCACTTCCAAGCCCAGCTTGCCTCTCATCAACTCAAACAGGCTCTGAGCAAACTCTTGTTTAGCTGCTTCCTAGTTGAACGACCCTGTTATATGCCCCTTACCTTACCAGCTTTGCTGTGAGAACTAGACAAAATGAAATAAAGGACTTAGGAGATGCTTCATTAATGGGAACTTTTGCTACTGACAGTCTGGCCTTCAGACAGTTCATTCTGTTTTCCCTTTCCCATCCTACCAGCAGTCTCAGTCCTAATTCTGGTCTTCACTAGCTCATCTATCTCATGAATAGTATCCATAGGCTGGAGATCAGATTCTCTCTCTCTCTCTCTCTCTCTCTCTCTCTCTCTCTCTCTCTCTCTCTCTCTCTGTGTGTGTGTGTGTGTGTGTGTGTGTGTGTGTGTGTGTGTGTGTGAGAGAGAGAGAGAGAGAGAGAGAGAGAGAGAGAGAGAGAGAGAGAGAGATGTGAGTATGGACACTTGGCATGCCATTGTCCATGTGTGGATGTTAGAGAACAGTTTTGTGGAGTTGATTCTTTCCTTCCACATTTATGTGGATTCCAGGGATCAAACTTAGGTCATCAGGCCCACACAGCAAGTGCTTTTATTTACTAATCCCCCAAATTCTTGAGGACAGGAGCTGGGCCTTGTGCTTCCCTGCAGCACTGCTTGGCTTAGAGTAGGCATTCTATAAATACTCGTTGAAATAAATTGAATGGTACTTTCTCATCCAAGGTATGATGTGTCTCCTATGCATGTTCTGTGCAAATGGAAGATTCCCCCCGCCCCAGTTCTTCTTAATTGCAGTCTCTGTCTCAGGCCCCAAGCCACCTGGATGGTTTGTTACTAGCTGACAAATCTTTATCCACGCTTGGTAAATTACTTAGTAAGCCCATATACTTAGGAGCTCTGCTCTCTGGGAAGACATGTAGGTGTTGGAGACAAAAGCCAGGGATTGGGGGTACCCTCTGAGGGACACCTACCTGGCCTCACAGATCGAACCACCACAGGCCTCTCACTGCCGGCCACGAAGCCAAAGCCATAAATAGGGTCTCGGTGAATGGTCACTTGTCGCAGTGTCTCTGCTGGCAGCTGTACACATTCCATATCATTTGCGCTCTCTTCTTGCATCACATGACTGGGGGGGGAGGGGAAGATAGGAGCAAAACAAGACGCAAAGGGAACTAAGCCTCAAAGCCAGCTGGGAGGGACATCAGTTATGGTTCTGGCTATGATACCTGGGAGATCACAGCTTCACTTTCTTCATGTTTTGGGACCAGCAGAAGCGATGACTACCTCGTAGTTCATACTGGAGTAAGAGGGAGCTAGCGGGGAGAAATTGGTGACATGGGAATTGCAAGTCACACTCCTCTATGATGTTGGGACTCTAGAAGAAGCCTACAGGCAAATGTATTGTTCTGAAGTTAACTGGTATCACCTATCTTAATTGGCTATTAACTCCCTAAAGGAAACTAACCCCCCAGGGAACAGATCACAAAAGCAGGAGAATAAGTGGGAAAGGAAATGTGAAATCATTCCAGAATGAGGAACATCTTCACGGAAGTCCTTGTACAATTTTAAACTTTAATGTCTATTAGGTGATGTATAAAAAGGAACTATTTAGGTGGCATATATAAACAAGCGTGCTAATGTTCAGGACCATTACTTTACACAATTGTACAGAATGCCAACTTATTTCACTTAATGGGACAGCTGGAAAATGGCTCCTGTGGGCCAGAAGGGGAGCATCTTCTTGAGGTGGCTGATAGATCTGAAACTCAGTCGAGGCTGGGGAAGAGGGAACACTTCCCTCACACCTGGGGGAGATTCCATGTTGTTCTCTCAGTGCCTACAACTTAAGCTCCTGAAGATTAGCAGTTACATAGAGCTAGCTGTATAAAGATTCTACACTGAGGGCCAGGGTGAAGCATATTTCATGCAGATAGGCCCAGGTGGAGCATTTGGATGAAGAACCCTGAGTAGTGGGGGTGTAAGGAAAGTGATGTTTGTGGGGACACTGGGTGCCAGGGATAAGGGAGATAGTAAAACAGGGAATGATGGTCTAGAAGAAGGACAAAGTAGGCAGGGATGGAAGAGAGAGGACCAGAACCAAGAGACTCAGAATCTTAGCAACCTGATTTAGCTCCAATACCCGCAGGCTTTCAGGTATAGCAGAAGAGCCTAGGTTCCTTACCTCAGTATATCTATTCTCCAAAACTAAAGTTCTAGCCAAGGCTCTTCAAAACAGATGACTAGGAGTTAATTAATTAAACTAGTACAAGGTTTGTAAAAGATGTGGGAGGCTTTGACACTATGAGAGTGATGCAATTGTTGACTAGCTAAGAATTCCAAATACTTCAGTGGCAGGTGGGTTGTTTATCAGGAATCAACTAATTAGAGCTGAGCTTTAGACTATTTGTGGGGGAGGTGAGATTTGGAGCAATTACATGAAAGATAAATGATAATTCAGCAACGACCCCACAGCTGTCTTCATTATACCAGACCAGGGATGATATGAATCACCCACATATACTCTAGCTGTACCCAATGTGGTCTGGAGACTGTCTTTCATCCCTTGGGGAGGTGGATGCTAGTATAGGGCAAATTTAGAAGTCTCTAGAAGGCAAATTTAGAAGCTGACTCCCTCCCATTTTCCTACCCTAGTAAGACAAATGGACACTTTCTAACTGAAAGGCATGAAACAGCTGGAAGGTGGCTTGGCTATTTTTCTGAATAGGTATTTTGGGGGTACAGGGTATCTTTGGGGGTGACCTGAGGTGCTTTTCTGACTTCTGTTCTGGCTGGCAGGCACAAGTTTAGCATTGTAGGGAGCCAGAGAGCATTGTTTTGGGCTACCATCTTGCCTCAGTCTTGAGGTCGCTACTCAATTGAGCACCTAGTCTCAAAGACGATAAAAAGCCTCTTCCCGGGATGCCCTGAACTGGGTGCTGATGTGGACGCACGTTGGGGCAGGGTAGAGGCTTGAGAAGCTGTTGGGCTGCACAGCCCCTGGCCTGGGGAGCAAAGAGCCTGCAGGTATACCATGGAAGTATCCTGTACTCACCCTCCCATCCCAAGCACTAACAATCCAGATTTTCCCTCCCTCTGCTTTTCGTGAAGCTGGGGACCCTTCAGCCTTCAGTGGACCTTGAGGTACCACCATTACTGATTCAAACAGTCACTCTTGGAGACAGAGCAACCAACAAGCCGAAAGCCTTGTGTGACATGCTTTGCTTTATTCTTCTGACTCACATGGGGGCAACCAACGAGTATTTATTGAGTACCTACTCAGGCAGTCCAGAGCCCTTGAGGACACAGAAAAGCTCTAGGTCTTTGGCTACGAAGAGCTACCAGTCTAGCTGGAAGAGAAAAGACAAGGGTCCAGTGCACACGGGAATTAGAGTATGATTGAGAACAGTAGATGAACTTGATGACTAGCTCAACCTTGTATATTCAGAGGAAAGGGTAGAGAAGCTGGGGAAGGTGCCACGGAGGGTGTGGGAATGGTTTGGGTAGGCCAGGAAAAGTCACACTGTGGAGAGAGATGGAAACCCAAGCTCTCTCTCGCAGGCGACCCAGCTATTCTTCACCATAAAAGGCATGTTTCCAGGTGAATCAAATCACATTTTGTTCCTCATTAGGGTTGTTTCTGAGCTGGACTAACTGTCCCTACCTGGATCTTTCTCAATTCTACAAGTATCTGATGCCCAGTGCCTAGGCCTTCCCACATGTCTTGGGTCAGGGGGCACACCTCTATTAACAATCTGGGGGGGCATTTGATAATCCAATGGAATGTCTTCCTTCCCTCCTAAGGTCTGCATCTTTTAGTGTATGCAGCCCAGTCCCTCAGAAATTTGCTAAGTGTCTGGAGACTTCTGAGGGACACTGGAGGCAAGCAGTGATGGATGAGAGGAGCTCAGCTGTCCAAGGGCCACGTGACTGCCTTCCTGGGGAAACTAGGCAATTTGACTTTGAAAGACATTTGGCTTCTGGTCTCTCCAAACAGGGTAACCCTGAACAAATTATGAAGCAGCCAAAGCTCATGAGCCCCCCCATTGCTTTATTTCTGGCATCTGCCATCTTCTTCTGTTGTTTGTTCCCAAGCATACAGCACCTTCATTCTGTCCCCTTTTCTACACAATGTCTCTAAAGTATCTGCTCATCCTACACCAGGGTGGCCCTCTTCATTCAGTGATCCAAGAAAAAGTTCTAGCCTTTTCCTTCTGCCTCATAGTAACAACCTTTAGGTCCATGTGCTTCTTTGCATATTGACACCTATTACCTCATTTGAGAAAAAGTACTTTCACATCCACTATCTCCTCACAGCTGCTATCTGTCCTGCCAAAGAGGCGAGGTGACTGCTCCTCCCCCAGCCCTCAAGGTAGGAGCAGATACCCACAGAGGCTGAGCACAGCCGTGATCCAGCTGGAGTCAAATCTCCTTGGAAAGTCCCAAAATCCCAGCACCATCAGCTACATGCTTTCAGAGTCCTGGACCCCTTGTCACCCAGAATTTCCATTTCAAGCTGGCTCCAACCCTGTGAATAGTAACATGCCATGTCCCGGCCAGGCCTGGATGCTCAGTACACATTATAATTAACCTGTCTCTTATCCTGTTCACTTTGTGTTGTTGGGAGAATGAGATGAGATCATGGCTACAGAAGAAAGCACTTAGAAGGTTAAGTATAGCATACGGATGTAGAGGTGACAATATTACGGGTAGCATTATTCAGGGTGGCCAGAGGAACAGAGAAATGGAGCCGAAAATGAACCTTCACCCAAAGTCACACAGCTTGGGGGCCTTCCCACACCCTTTCTTTTTAAGAGACAGCCCCACAATGCACTCTGCTCCTTTGTTAGCTGGGCAGCCCATTTCCTGGCCCAAACTATCAGACAATCTGACTCCATTTGAATGCTTTGATTTCTCTGTGGACTAACCTGACCTCCATCACTGGCCAAAGAGAAACCAGGAGCTGGAGTTCACACTAACAACTGTTGCTAGGCAGATGTGGCTAAAGACAGATGAACTGACAGGGCAATGAAATGGTTCTGTGCTAATGTTCTATCTTTCTGCACTCTGGGGCAGGAGAACTAAAATGTTACAGTTACATTTCCAGGCGCTGGCTTTTAGTTCTCCATCCCTCCTTGCCTTTGGCTCTTTTTTCTTTACATTTGGTTGGCTCCTTGGGGAGTCTTGTCATTCTCCTTGAAACTGGCAGGATTTGGAGCCATGTGGCGCCAATTAGCCCTCTGATTCCAGTAACTGGAGCCTGACTCTCCTGGAAACTCCAAAGATCCAGCACAGCAGGCAAGCAGCTGGGTACCTATGAGATGCCATGAATTCCAGGTGGCAGTAACAGGAACCCTATCTCCAGAGCTTTGAGATAGCTCCTCTGGGTGTAAACCTCTTTCCCCTGGTAAAGGTGCCCTCACCTCTCCTTTCAGCTAGCTGCTTCTTACTGTGTAGTGCTGCTCAAATTTTAATGTGCACCTGGGTCATGTGGGGGTATTAGCAAATTATTCTGAGGCAGCAGGTCTGTAGTCAGCTCTGCCATTCTGACCTATTCCAGGGTGATGCCACTGCTGACTATAATTTGGGATGCAAGGACACTATCCTTAGACAACAGGAGAACCACAGTCAGACAGGAGACTACGTCAGTGCTTTTACTCTGTTTCGTTGCACCAGTGAAGGTCCCAGTTAAAGCATAACTGCTGCCCGGGGTGGTGGCACACATGTGTAATCTCAGGAGTTGGGACAAAGAGACAGGAAGATCAAGAGTTCAAGGTCATCCTCAGCTACAGAGGCCAGCCTAGTCTACATGAGACCTTGTTTCAAAAATACTAAAAATCAAAACCTCAAAAAAAAAATACTAAAAACCAAATGAGTAAAAACCCATTATTACCTATCGCGGACACGTTAATTTTTGTAAACAAAGCTCTGGATGGCTGAATCAGATCTATCCGAGGAATGAATAGGGAGAGCTCAAAACATTTATGAAATGAGACAGGGAAGGTCACATTGGGGCAAGGAGAAGAAAGATATGGATTTATTTGGCCCTACTGGAGAATCTGGTCATCCCAAGGACTAGAAACATCTGGGAGTCAGGTAGTTAGATGCTGAAAGGAAGGATACTGCTAA